AGATTTGAACCGCCGAACTGCAGTCAGCTGAAGTAGCCTGCGGTGCTGCATTTAACCACTGCGCCACCTCGGTTCCTTAAGCAACTTGACTACATTAATCAGAGCAATAACCACCCTAAAACTATAGAGAATCATACATCCATGATTAAGAAAGCCTACCTTATTCAACACGTTGGGTGGCCTGTGCAAGGGGTTGCTGGGAAACCAGCAGTCCTACTCATCTGCCTGCCTCTAAACCTTTTAGGTCCTGAAAAGTGCAGGGCCTGTTTAAACAAACGGCCTCTCTCTCCCCTACCCCCCCCTACCCCTGATTGCTAAACGCCCCCCAAGCCACAACCAGAGCATGCAGAAAATTCCTTTGCTTTCCATCTTTGCTCAGATGTTTGATCTCTCCCTGGGAGCTGACTTTCCTCCATTGGAGTCTGCTTCTCTTCTAAGCTCTCCAAGTCTCAGTCCTTCCCCAGTAGATCCCGGGGGTTCCCTGGAGGGTCGAGGAGGGGGGGTAGAGGGAGGGAGGGAGGGAAGGAAGCCACTTCCTCGATGCATCTCTGCTGCGAAAGGACCTGTGAACCGGGCAGCAAGCAGCTGCTTGGCACTTGCCAGAATTTCTCCCTCGCTCGCTCTTTTGGCCCCCGCCACGTTCTGGGGCTGAGCCAGGCTGAGCTTTTTAAGATTCCGATCACAGATGGGGCTGGATTTCCAAGGCTCGAGAGCTCAGAGCCTCCCTCGCTCTTTCCACAGGCGCCGCCATCGCCAATGACAAGCCAAGGAAGCAGCAGCAGTCGGAGCAGCAGTGAGCAGGCCGGAGCAAGCTGTCCCTGCTCTTGGCTGCTGGATGCTGTCAGTGAGTATCTCGCGGCCAGAGGAGGCTGCTGGGGGAGGAGGGGGGGGTTCCAGGCTGAGGGAGCTTCCTTGTGGGGGGAGGAGCAGTGGGGCAGTTCCTGGGAAGCCCTCGCTCTGGGGGGGGGTCTCCTGCTGTGAGTGGAGGGTTTGGTTGTGCTCGCATCGAGGTGGACCCTCCGAAGCAGCCTCAGATTTATTAGGAGGAGACGGACTTGCTGAGATAGAATTCCTTGGCTGTATCCAACCACAAAGCTAGGCATGAGGAAGGAAATGAAGCCAGGGCGTACAGATACGAAGGGACTGTTTGCGTGAAAGTCTTCCAGGAGAGGCAGGAAGGGGATTTCATTGCCTGGAACTGCTGGGGCTGGCATTCGATAGGCCTGTTCTCGAGCCAACCAGGAGCTTCCTGCTCTTCGTTCCTGGCTTTTATCTTCCGCTCTGGCACCGTGTTCTGTCCCTGGATAAGGAGGCTTCACAGCATCCACAGCATCTTTTATATATGTGTGTGTGTGTGTGTGTGTGTGTTGTTTTTTTTAATTTGTGCTGATAAATAAATAAAGGGAGACTAGTATAGATCTATTTCAAGCTATTTAGCTCTCATCAGCTAGCCATACCCTTACTGGGATTNCGCGGTGATGACGTCGCGGCTTTAGCGACGCAATTTTATCACCACTATTTTGACGAGCACGGTTATGTCATGCCACGAGGCAGAGCTATGAAGGTTCAGAATCCTCCGGGGAACCCCGGGAAGGTCTGGGCATGTGAATCAAACCTCAAGGTTGAAAGCCTCGTGAAACGAAAGGTTCTCGCTTCTCTTCATCTCCAGGAAAGGACATCAATCCCATCTCCCCCCTCCTCCCCACCCCGAAAAATGTAGTTATAAAGACGAGAAGCATCGTCAACCTTTAAGGCAAATTAAGCATACAGGATCATAAAATGCCAGCGCTATAAATGCACCTTTTAATTAATTCATCGACTATAATAGCTTGAAATCATTATATAACTTATCAGAGGAATAATTTGTGGTGTTCTATGCTTATAACTGTGAGACACATTTAAAAAAAACTAAAGTAAAATATAACATTGCTTTTGGGTCAATTAAAAACAGGACTTGGGGATTTCCCCCCTGCTCTGTGTAGGAAACTGTAGACTTCAAAAAAAAAACCTAATCCTAACCCCAGATCACAGAGGATGAGCCTATCTTGTCCATTTGGCCTGTTTTCTGGAGTGGGACCAGATAGGACACTTGATGCAATGTATGTGTAATCTGTGGGTCCTCCTGGACTCACAACTCCTGCTTGAAGAGCCAGTGGTGGTCATGCCCAGGAGCTATATCTGTTTTTATTACTTTAAAAAAAATAAAAGTATTAATTTTAAATATATATACTTTAAAAAATTAATGCATTCTCATGCCACCCGTCTCCCGTATAAGGTGATTCTGTATGGGAAGCAGGAACTCTGGAAGCTGCAAATCCATGCCCTCCGAAGCCCCCTGGGATGGCTTTGGAATAGGGTTGACTTGCTGCCCACCCCTATCAAGCGATGTGTTCCCCTCGCTCTCCACTGTCCTCAACGTGCCACCCTGGACTGAACCTTCCTGCACCTTCTGCTGGTGTCAATTCAGACCAGGCAACTTGCAAAGCATAGGGGGAGAAAATTATATTTTCGCTGTCTTACATGCTTTGCTCTCAACACTTTCACAAGCAAGCCAAACCATGCTGGCTTTCTCATTTCAGCACCCTGGCCAGCACCCTCTGTGGAGAGAACCCAGGCAGGAACTGGTGGGTTCTGGGTGGTACGGCCCAGTATGGGCGTACCGGTGGCAGCCGGGAACAGCGGCCACCATACCAGAACGGTGTTTAATTCCCCCCCCCCCATGTTCCTTACCTCTTTTTGAGGGAAACGGGCAAAAATGTGCATGTGCGTACGCTATATGGCGCCTGTGCAACCTCTGCCGAGCCGCTGGGGCGTCGCAGAGCNAAGCCTAAGCCTAAGGCTAAGCCTAAGCCTAAACCTAAGCCTAAACCTAAAACCCAAAACACCACTCCATTCGGTGATTTGAGTTTTCACTGAGGAGTTAGACCAAAATGTATCAGAATTCACAATAGAACCGGAATGAGCCAGAAATCATGATTTTTGACCCGGAGGTCAGTTTCCAAGACAAAACACAAATTATTTGTCTACTCTTGGAAAACCCAAAAAACAAATCCATTCCCTGATCCGAGTTTTCACTGAGGAGTTAGACCAAAAGGTATAAGAATTGGCAAAAAACTGGAATGAGCCAGAAATCATAATTTTTGACCTAGTGCTGAGTTTCCATTCGATTTCGGGCTCATTCCAGTTCTTTTGCGAATTCTTAAACATTTTGGTCTAACTCCTCAGTGAAAACTCGGATCACTGAATGCATTTGTTTTTTGTGTTTTCCAAGAGTAGACAAAGAATTTGTGTATTTTCTTGGAAACTGACCTCCGGTCAAAAATCACGATTTCTGGCTCATTCTAGTTATTTGCCAATTCTTATACATTTGGTCTCACTCCTCAGTGAAAACTCGGATCACTGAATGGAGTGGTTTTTTTGGATTTTCCAAGAGTACACCAACAATTTGTGTTTTTTCTTGGAAACTGACCTCCGGGTCAAAAATGACGATTTCTGGATCATTCCAGTTCTTTTCCGAATTCTACATTTTGGCCTAACTCAGTTTCCAACAAGAAAGCCTAAGGCTAAGGCTAAGGCTACGGCAAGTCTAAGCCTAAGCCTAAGCCTAAGGGTAAGGCTAAGCCTATCCGGATCCTAATCCTGACCCGACCTTGACCTCGACCCGGACCCCAACCTGGACCCTGACCCTGACCCTTACCTCGACCCGGACCACGACCACGACCCCGACCCGGACCAAGACCAAAATGTATCAGAATTCACAAAAGAACTGGAATGAGCCACAAATCGTAATTTTTGACCTGGAGGTCAGTTTCCAAGAAAAAACAGAAATTGTTTGCCTACTCTTGGAAAACCCAAAAAACAAATCCTTCCATGATCTGAGTTTTCACTGAGGAGTTAGACCAAAACGTATCAGAAGAACTGGACTGAGCCTGAAATCGAATGGAAACTGAGCACCGAGTCAAAAATGACGATTTCTGGCTCATTCCAGTTTTTTGCCAATTCTTATACATTTTGGCCTAATTCCTCAGTGAAAACTCGGATTACCGAATGGATTTGTTTTTTGGGTTTTCCAAGTGTAGACAAACAATTTGTGGTTTTTTTTTTGGAAACTGACCTCCGGGTCAAAAATCACGATTTCTGGCTCCTTCCAGTTTTTTGCCAATTCTTATGCCTTTTGGTCTAACTCCTCAGTGAAAACTCGGATCACCGAATGGAGTGGTTTTGTGGCTTTTCCAAGAGTAGACAAACAATTTGTATCTTTTCTTAGAAACTGACCTCCGGGTCAAAAATGACGATTTCTGGCTCATTCCGGTTCTTTTCCGAATTCTGATACATCTTGGTCTGGGTCCAGGTCGGGGTCCATATCGGGGTCCGGGTCCGGGTCGAGGTCAGGTCAGGATTAGGATCCAGATAGGTTTAGGTTTAGGCTTAGCCTTAGGCTTAGCCTTAGGCTTAGCCTTAGGTTTAGCCTTAGGCTTAGCCTTAGGCTTAG